ACACCAGAGGGAGCAGGGACAGGGCTGGCACCCCAATTGTGAGTGTGGGACACCAGAGGGAGCAGGGACAGGGCTGGCACCCCAATTGTGGGACCCAGAGGGAGCAGGGACAGGGCTGGCACCCCAATTGTGGGACACCAGAGGGAGCAGGGACAGGGCTGGCACCCCAATTGTGAGTGTGGGACACCAGAGGGAGCAGGGACAGGGCTGGCACCCTCCCTCCTGTCCCAGCCCTGCTCCTGCCCCAGCCCAGAGCCCACAGGCCGCCCAGGAGGGAGCAGGAGTGGGAGCAGCTGCAAACATCCTGCTCCTGGTTCACTTCTCCTCTGGGCTCTCAGAACAAAGGAGGCAGCTGCACTCAGCTCCACTTCAGAAGATTTTTGTGCCTCCTCAGAGCTCAAGGTACAATTTGTTACTCTTGCTATTTACATTGCAAACCTGGTGCCTGGGCATATTTTTGTTCCAACCACCCCATTCTATAAAGATTTCCACCCAAATCTTTGCTGTCTGACTGCAGCAAAATTTTCTACTAGGAATGAACAGCAGTCTATCCCAAATCCAAAGACAATTCCACAAAACCAAAACAATCCCCCTGCTTCACACTTCAAACAGACCACAAAAATAGTTAGAACAACTGATACAACATAATGATTAAGATAGAAGAAGGGAAATGTGGAACCCTAATTCTGGAATGACAAAACAGTTCAAACATGATTTGTTTTTAGAGAAAAAGTACTGTTCAGGTTCCCCTCTAAAACAGCTTTCCCTATATTCACTATAAATGAGAGTCAGCAAGGACCAGCAGAAGGAAAACAGGCATGGAGGACTGTGGGAAAATGGAAAAAAAGGAAAAATCCACCAGAGAATGGCACAGCTTCACTGGCACAGCTGTATTTTCTTTTCCTGTCTCTACAATTTAAGCAGGCAAGTTTACATCTCTCCTTTTCTTTTTATAAAGGAGAGAGCTGGGCCACTGGAAGAGGACCAATTTATATTATGTGCTACAAAAGTTAGTCCAATAACAGATTAAAGAAAGCCTTGAAAATTAAGTAAAGACTCCTGGATGTTTTTTAGTGTCTCACTCCATAACCAGAGGGCAGGGGATATATATATATACATATTCATCAGAAGTCTACATGGCAAGGCTTAAAAAAACCTAAGACATTAATGTAGAGACTGTCAACAATTCAAGACAGGAACTGTTTAAATGAAATGATTTAAAGACTGAAATAGCATCAGCTATTCTGGGGAAGCAGAATTTATTTCTGTTAGATAGCTTTCCCTGTCTAATCCTGCCACACACTATGTTCCTAGCTTGCTGTCACTATAAAGCCTGCTATTACAGATTTCTGGGGATACCTAGAAGCACATAAGGACAATTTGTCTCTCATGGAATGCTATATCAGTAAACATCCAGGCTATATCAGCTAGACAAATGGGGGATTCAAAGCTTAACTCATGAAAATTTTGATTGTTTATTACTTCTTCCAGTGAGCTTTTTAATGTAGTGTAACATCAAATGTTATGGGAATAAGAGGAAAGCTGGGCATCAACAGCACTTCTGCCAGGCAATGGAACCCAGAGGTAAAGAGGGTTTCCACTACTTCCAAAAAATTACTTTGGTGGCATCTATTGCATCTGTTCATTTTTCCAGTGCCTAGACAGGCAAGAATTGTTATCAAATCCTACCAGTGATATTAGTTGTTTTACGGTTTCCATATAAAGTACAAATAGTTTTGACACTAAAAATTACAAGTTGTAAGTAAAAAGAGGCCAGGTTTTGTTGTATTGCACTAGATACTGCAAGGTTTAACCTGCATTGTGAAATCATATATGTTAGCCAAAAGAAGACCCAGCATGTATTTCAGATTCATTGCTGATCAATGGCACCCCATTCTCACACAGACATTTGCAAAACACAGCAAAAGAAAAGCCTTTCACATTAAACAAGTTTAATAATCTTCATCTTGACCTGGACACTTCACATCCTCCCCCAATTCCCAGGATTTATTTAAACATGAGGGCCAAGTCAGATTCCCACAAACCATGTCTCAGCCTCTGCAGAAAGAGGAAAATGTTAAAGCTGAGGAGTTTGGTGTTCTAAGCATGAGCTGCAAAAGCACATCCACCACAGGTTTCAGTCATGCCCCAGTGCTGTGCTGCACGTGTGTGTATATCTGCACACAGCTGTGCACAAACAGATGTGGATATCTGTACACAAACTGATGTGTATGTCTGTGCACAAAGTGATGTGTATATCTGTGCACAAACTGATGTGTATATCTGTACACAAACTGATGTGTATATCTGTGCACAAACTGATGTGTATATCTGTACACAAACTGATGTGTATATCTGTGCACAAAGTGATGTGTATATCTGCACACAGCTGTGCACAAACAGATGTGGATATCTGTGCACAAACAGATGTGTATATCTGTGCACAAAGTGATGTGTATATCTGCACACAGCTGTGCACAAATTGATGTGTATATATGTCGCAGACATTTTTTCATAGAAATCCTTTCTTTCACACTTGTCCATCTTCTGGGAAGCAGAGCCCCAGAAGAAGAATGTAAACAATTGTTATCAGCTGCTGTGAAATGTAGCAGGTGCCCCTGTGATTGGCTCATCTTCCATGTGTACCATTAAAGGCCAATCACAGGAGCAGCTCAGGGACAGATTCCCTGCACACAGAACTTTGTTTTTTCATTCCTTCTATTCTATTCTTAGCTGAGCAGCTCTCTGCAACTTCTCTTCTTATTCTTTTTAGTATAGTTATAATGTATTATATATCATATATCAATAAATCAAGCCTTCTGATCAAGAAACAAGATTCTCGTCCTTCTCTCACCACAGTGACCGTCTAAGGTCACTGTAATATATATATATGTACACAGCTGTGCACAAACTGATGTGTATATCTGTGCACAGCTGTGCACAAATTGATGAATTTGCCTTCTGCCTTTAGCCCTGCCCATGGAGCAGCCTGTGCTGCAGTGTCTGGGGCTGCTGTTAGGTCTGCAGAACCAGTGTGCCTCAAGGCAAACTGCTCAACATGAATTTTGGGGGTGTCAGTACTATACCCAGCTTTCTGACTAACTCTGTAAAGCTGTGCTCAATCCAGTTCCCTTCTCATGGAACTCTCTTTAGGC